TACAATCAGAGAAATAATCTACTTAGGTCCCTTAGACATATAGGGTGACAAAACTGGTTCATATTGTGGTGAATAGAGAAGTAACGAGATTTTAATTAACCTTCGATACAATTTGTTTAATTATTTGTATTAGATATTTAAACATGAATAGACAAGATTATTAAACGAGTGATACGAATATAAACCTTTTTTTAATAAACGTGTCATATTTTTATTACTATACGACTCATACCATTTAACTTGCGTATCTACTTTCAACACATTTAACCTGTTTGTCTTAACGTTATCCTAAATGGATATTTGTTTCATAAATAAATAATTATATCATAAACTGTTAATGTTGTTATAATCGAATAATCATATCATAAACATGTTATATATATAACTCGTTTAATTAATCACGTCATTAAATGTTTTCACATGTTTAAAATCCTTAATATGAACACGAATATGATTGAGATCAACCCTGACCTGTTTAAACCATGTCATATTGGGAGGTTATATAAAAAAAAAAATTTGAACGTCACCTTTACTTGGACAAAGAATAAATGTGTTACTTCTTTTTATTCTAGTGGATCAAAATGTACCCAACCTAAACCTAAAGGACCTAAACGTAATCATCCCTCAGCTAAAAAAAGTCAACTTTAGAATAATGTAAAACAGAAAAAGCGGCAGATTCTTGGAAAATCACAACAAAGAGACAAATCCACAAAAAAGAATTAGGCCAGCCTGAGGCCCTGAAACAACTTTTCCTCCAAATGACCGCCCTTAATATGCAGCTCAGCAGAAACTTCCTCTTTTTCGCATGACAAAAAACTGACCATTTCTTCGTGTATTTTCCAGGTTTTTCTCCATAGACTCGATGCAGGCTGCAGGCAATTTCCTTCCACCATCCCCGTCTGCTCTCAAAGCTGACTGCTTTGACGTCTTCAAAGACCAAATAACCAAACCGAACCGCCCTCCTTATAAATATTTAAACCCCCCCTTCCTTCCTCCACCATCAAATCAACGTGAATTATTCCTCTAGCTTTCACAATCGTTTATGGAATTTAACCATTTCTACTACCATATTCAAATGGAGAAATCATCATCATCAGCTAGCAAAAATAACCAAAATTCTTTCTTTTTCTTTGCCTTTTTTCCTTTTATTGTTTCATTATTTGAAAGATTTTTCACTTTGGTTCAAGGAGTCGACAATTTTTTTTCATCGTTCTTCTGGTCTTTTTTATCGTTCTTCTGGTCTTTTTTCTTGTTACATCTCCATTTTTCCAATATTGAAAATTGCAGTGATCTCAAGAATCCAGATTTTGTTGATTCCAGTGTTTCTTGTGTCCAGAAGAAGCAAGATCATGATGATGGAAGCCTCCTAAGAGAGGAAGTTGAGATGGTGATGGAAGAACTGACACTTTTTTGCGGCCCTGGAGGCGAGGAGCTCCCGGAAAAAATCGGTTCCAGGGAGGTTTCGGGGCTGTTTGAGGAGAAGGAACCGAGCTTGGAGGAAGTGAAGGAAGCGTTTGATGTTTATGATCAAAACAAAGATGGGTTCATTGATGCGAGGGAGTTGCAGAGAGTTCTTCGTGTTTTGGGATTTAAAGAAGGATTTGAGTTGGAGAATTGCAGGAAAATGATCGGAAAATTTGATGAAAATGGAGACGGGATGATTGATTTTAGAGAATTTGTAAAGTTTATGGAGAATAGTTTTGTTGAATTGTAATTTGTTTGCAGAAAATAGATGCAATCAAAACTTAATATTCAACGCACAATTTTTTTTTTTTTTTTTTTTTATTAGTTTCGGCTTGTTCTTGATGAATTTCTATGCAAACATTATACCGATAATTAAATTATAATTTCTATTATATATTTAGAAATTATCATATCATAGTATCATTATCTTGGTCTAGTTCAGGGATAATCTTTTTCATTCTTTTGTTCTATTGTCACATGTGATATACAATTAATTAATTAGGACCCTCTAATTTTACTAATACTAACAATTGCATTAAAGATGGAATAATTATTCTCCTAAAATGTCACAATTACCCTAAACAAACATATTAATGACCATAAATTTAAAGTGATAAATAATATATCACTCGAGAATTTTAAGATAATGTTTGTGTTTGTATTGTTAGAATTAAGTGCTCCGAAAAAACAAATTTAAAACGCCAAGGGGTTGATCTAGCTGTCAAGAGGTTTGTTTTTTTTATTAACTTCTTGGGTTCGAATCATCTTGAGGTCACTTACCACATTTGTGATTTACTTTGGAATATTTGGTGTTCAATAGATCTTGATAATTAGTTAAGGTACACGCAAACTGACCCGAACACCCCGGTCATTAAAAAAAAGTAAAAAACAAATTTAACTCACCCATGGATAGCCCAACGGTAAGGGTGAACCAAAGGGGTTGTGTATAGCTTCAACTCATAGTCCTAGTTTGATTATGCGTTGGATGCAAAGACAGTACCTTTGCTCATGATTTACCTATAGGCCCGTTGGGCATAAAGGTAGTATATTTACTCATGATTTACTTGAGGGGCTACGGTGCTGGGTTACTATAGGATAACTTTCTCTAAGAATTAGTTGAGTGAAGGGCACATAAGCTAGCCCAAACACCTTAATTAACCAAAAACAAAAAAATAGTTTTATTTAATTAATTTTATATACGTTATTATAGGTGCTTGATCAACTTGTGATTTTGATCTATAGGCTGTATAGAGACACACTGTGTTATGTTTATAATATGTACATTATATAAAGAGCAATGTTTGTTTTATAAAAACACATACAAAGGGAGCATACAAAGACAATCCCCACCCTTGATTTTCATGATTTTTCTCTCTCTCTCTCTCACTTTTTCCGTTTTTTCTTTGTTTTTTTTCATCTTGCTGATGTCACTTTGTAACCCTCTTTGTATGAGTTTTTGTAAAGATAGTATTTTTCTTATATAAATGTTCAACATGGAATTCACTATTCTCAAGTGTGAGAAAGTATGCTCGAGCGGTTTTCATACAAGAATTGGACTTAAAGAAAGCTCGCCAATGTGTTTACAAAAATAGTTTTTATACTTTATAATTATATATCTATATATAAAATTGTTTTCGAAATATTTTTAAAGTCTAAATATATTATGAAAATTGAGTGATTACATATTTACATGAATTAAGTGGGTATGTATGTCGAGTATAGTGTATTGGAAGGACTAATTAGTATCAATTATAATGAAAAAAGTCTCACTTGTAATTCTTTATTCTTCGGGGGTAAATTTAATATGTTGGCGGACATTATTGCAATTAAGTAGATTTTCATGATATCCTATTTAAGTAGGACATAATAAGAATATTATAGAAATAATTCTAATAAAATAAAAAAGTTGTTTTTATTGGAATCCCAATACTCAAGGAAAGTGATATAGCTAAGGATCCCATACATATATTTTCTCCATAGGGTTTTGCTATTATAAATAGAACACCATAAGTTCAAACAGTAACGGATCCAGAAATTTCTATTAGGGTAGGTCAAAATAAAAATTAATTACACATTAATTTTTTGATATGATAGACCAAAATCTAGAAATTGTACATATTAGTATTTTAAAAAGAAAATTAAGGGTGAGCCAAAACAAGGCTGGATCCGTCCCTGAGTCCAAAGTTGATTGTCATAGCTTTTGTGTTTGAAGATTCCTGAAAAGAAAAAACCTTTAAATGGATTGCTAAACGAGGCCAGTTTTTTAACTACTATTGTATGTTAGATCTTGGGTTTTATATTAGAAATAGTTTTTGAATAATACAATTATTTTTAGCTAATTCTACCGAGTATTACCATTACTCAATCTCTTATATTTCTCCAATATAAAAAATTTGCTAATTTGACATAAGTTTTTAGGGGGTATTTACTAGTTTATTAAATAAGTAGACCTGCGATAATTCCGAAAAATATAGGGGTTTAAAATTCTCCCATGAAAATTTTTATCTAACGCCCTAAATTCTTCGCGGTCTCTCGTAGTTAAGACATCCATCGAAGCCGAAACAGAGAACCCGTTGCAGGTACCTCTTAAGCCACTCATTCATATATGTATATTTAACTAAATTTCGAATCTTGAGTTAACATTGAGCTGGTAATGCGTAGGAACATTTTTTGCCTTGTTTTTAGGTAAAAGTATAGACAATCCACCATCTGTTCGATAAAAGTACTCAATAAACCTGCGTTTCATAATCTCTTCCTGGTGTATTATCCTTTTATTATGTTTTAACATCTAGGTTCTTTTAGAAACGATTAGGATTGAATGCAATCTAGGAAGGGCAAATTAAACGACTATAGAATTTAAAATTTTGAATAAACATAGTATCTGTGAAGTCTCGTGTTACATCTTTCAGTGGTAAGATGATAATTACATTGAAACATGGCAGAAAAAAAGATTATTACAAAGTGAAATTACTGCAATTTGAATGCAAGGGTGAAAATGTGAAGAAGCTGAAAAGTTGATCGGGTGGAAGGGGATTTAGGAAAGGGCTGCAAAGACTTGAGAGAAAAAGCAAAGTGGTTTTGGGATTTGAGAATTTTAATTTTGATGCCAGACAAGAAGAGAACTGAAAGAGAAGTTGAAGGCAAGAGTTTTGGGTTTGGATGATTTTCAAAATTGTTAAACAAAACTGAGGTAGCTTGCACTAGATGAACGGGTTGCTTTTTATGATATCCAGACAAATTTTCCAAAATTAGTTGCCCCTCCTTTTCCCTAATAGGGAACCAACCCAACATGAAGCCCAACCACNTTAGTTTTTGAATAATACAATTATTTTTAGCTAATTCTACCGAGTATTACCATTACTCAATCTCTTATATTTCTCCAACATAAATGAACAAGTTAATTTGACATAAGTTTTTAGGGGGTATTTACTAGTTTATTAAATAAGTAGAACTGACTATAATTCCCAAAAATATAGGGGTTTACAAATTCTCCCATTTAACGCCCTAAATTCTTCGCGGTCTCTCGTAAGTTAAGACATCCATCGAAGCCGAAACAGAGAACCCGTTTCAGGTACCTCTTAAGCCACTCATTCATATATGTATATTTAACTGAATTTCGAATCTTGTGTTAACATTGAGCTGGTAATGCTTAGGAACATTTTTTACTCTGTTTTTAGATAAAAGTATAGTCAATCCACCATCTGTTCGATAAAAGTACTCAATAAACCTGCGTTTCATAATCTCTTCCTGGTGTATTATCCTTTTATTATGTTTTAACATCTGGGTTCTTTTAGAAACGATTAGAATTGAATGCAATCTAGGAGGGGCAAATTAAACGACTATAGAATTTAAAATTTTGAATAAACATAGTATCTGTGAAGTCTCGTGTTACATCTTTCAGTGGTAAGATGATAGTTACATTGGAACTTGGCAGAAAAAAAGATTATTACAAAGTGAAATTACTGCAATTTGAATGCAAGGGTGAAAATGTGAAGAAGCTGAAAAGTTGATCGGGTGGAAGGGGATTTAGGAAAGGGCTGCAAAGACTTGAGAGAAAAAGCAAAGTGGTTTTGGGATTTGAGAATTTTAATTTTGATGCCAGACAAGAAGAGAACTGAAAGAGAAGTTGAAGGCAAGAGTTTTGGGTTTGGATGATTTTCAAAATTGTTAAACAAAACTGAGGTAGCTTGCACTAGATGAACGGGGTGCTTTTTATGATATCCAGACAAATTTTCCAAAATTAGTTGCCCCTCCTTTTCCCTAATAGGGAACCAACCCAACATGAAGCCCAACCACCTGAATATCAAACATTAAAAAGCATTTTTAATTAAAAAAAATGAAAACCTATTTGTTTATTTGTGCTTCTTTTTCAATATTACATAGTGTTGAATTTTACTTATAAGTTCTTTCTCCTCTCTCGTGCCAACTACAATGTTTTTGTTCTTTATTTTAGATGCGAAAAATTCAGTTTTTTTGTTTGGATCATAATATGCATTTGTTGAGCTTTACTTTTATTATTATTTTTTCATTTAGATTTGTTTGTCTATAATAGATTTTGATATATTCTGTTAACTGAAGGGGTACAAATCAAAATTCTAGAGTTAGCTACAATGATTTCTGTCTGAGGAATATATATCGTTTTTCTCCTCTCTTTTTTTATTTTTTAGTTTTATAACTTCAAAAAACGCTATTAAGTGTTTTTTTGTTTTTTTTAAAGAAATTGTAATGATAATAATTTAATTGCCTTTTGTTACAGATATCAATACTACCATCAAAGTACTGATTTCTAGGTCACTTTGTTCTACAAAATGAAGGGTCATAGTCTAATACTATCAACAAGCAAACAAAACCATGCACCTCTCTCTCTTGAAGACACCATTAAGCTCTTAAAAGTCTCAGCTGATACAAAGAACTTAAAACTGGGCAAAATGATTCATGCTCATTTGACCATATTGAGTGAATCCCCCCAAAATGAAAACATAGCTCAAACAAACTCATTAATTAATTTCTATGCAAAATGTGACCAAATACCAGTTGCCCGCCAACTATTTGATAATATGCACCATAGAAATGTGGTTTCATATAGCTCCTTAATGTCAGGGTATTTGCATTATGGGTTTTCATTGGAAAATCTTAAACTGTTCAAAAGTATGGTTTCTGTGGAAAATATGAGGCCAAACGAATACATTTTTGCCACAGTTCTTTTCTCTTGTTCCCGAAGCAGCAAAGTTGAAGAGGGTAAGCAGTGTCATGGGTATGTGATGAAGTCAGGATTGGCGTTTCATCAGTATGTGAGGAGTGCACTTATAGATTTGTATGCAAAGTGTCAAGATATGGGAATGGCTATGCAAGTTTTTAATGCATTGCCAGGATATGATGTTTTTTCATATAATTCAATTCTAAATGGACTTTTGGAACATGGATATATGAGGGAAGGGGTTGAGGTATTGAGCAGGATGGTAAATGAGTGTGTGAACTGGGATACCACTACTTATGTTAATGCTTTTGGGATTTGTGCTTGTCTTAAAGACTTGAAATTGGGTTTGCAAGTTCATGGCCAGATGTTAAAGAATGATGTTCAAATTGATGCCTTTATTAGTAGCGCTATGATTAACATGTATGGGAAATGTGAGAAGATTTCAAATGCTAGGAAGGTTTTTGATGGGTTGAAAACTCGAAATGTGGTCTTATGGACATCAATGCTTGCTTCCTTCTTTCAAAATGGGTACTATGAAGAAGCATTGAATTTTTATAATGAAATGGAAGAGGAAGGCATTCAGCCCAATGAACTTACTTTTGCTGTCTTGCTGAACTCTGCTGCAGGATTGTCCACAGTAAGATATGGAGATGTCTTACATGCACTTGTCGAGAAGTCTGGTTTTAAGGAAAATGTTATTGTTGGGAATGCTTTGATCACTATGTATGAGAAGGGTGGCATCATTGAAGCAGCTTTTAAAGTATTTTCTAATATGATATATCGAGACACTATAACTTGGAATGCTATGATATGTGGGTATTCACATCATGGACTTGGTAGGGAAGCTCTGATCGTGTTTCAAGAAATGTTGGCTGCAGAAGAATGTCCGAACCATGTGACTTTTGTTGGGGTTCTCTCTGCTTGTGGCCATTTGGGGCTAGTGCAAGAAGGTTTCTACTATTTGAATCAGGTTATGAATAAGTTTGAAATCAAACCAGGACTAGAGCATTATACATGCATTGTTGGACTTCTAAGCAAAGCTGGACTGCTTGATGAGGCTGAGAATTTTATGAGGTGTACACTTGTCAAATGGGATGTTGTTGCATGGCGTACTTTGCTCAATGCTTCACATGTCCATCAGAATTATGGTTTTGCTAGGCGGATTGCTGAATTTATCTTAAAGATGGACCATGATGATGTGGGTACATATACACTGCTATCTAATATATATGCTAAGAAAAAAAGATGGGATGGAGTCTCGAAGATTCGGAAGTTGATGAGGGATAGGAATATCAAGAAAGAACCTGGTGTGAGCTGGATTGAGATAAAGAATGCAACCCATGTTTTTGTTTCTGAGGATATTAACCACCCAGAGTCTAGTCAGATTTATGAGAAGGTAAAGGAACTGTTGGCTAAGATTAAGCCATTAGGGTATATACCGGATGTTGCTGCAGTACTTCATGATGTGGAGGATGAGCAGAAGGAAGAGTATCTTAGTTATCATAGTGAGAAGTTGGCCATAGCATATGGCCTTATGAAAACATCACCAGGAGCACCTATCCGGATAATTAAGAACCTTAGGATGTGTGATGACTGCCATTCAGCGGTGAAACTTATTTCAAAGCTTACAAACAGGGATATAATTGTCAGAGATGCCAACCGTTTCCACCGATTTCAAGATGGGTGTTGCTCCTGTGCAAATTACTGGTGACATATTGATGGAATACCAACAAAAAAAACATAGGGTGAGCTGGATTTAGATAAATAATATAATCTCTGTTCTTTTTTCTGAGGATAATAACCATCCAGGGTCTGGTCAGATTTAAGAAGGTAAAGGAATTGTTAGATAACATTAAGCTTTCGGGTGATGTAAAAGTACTCAAAATAACACTCAATTTCTTGATAAACTTTATTGGGTTGATAAAAGTTATCAATAAGTTCCATTTCAATCTCTTTCTGTTATATGTACTTTTGTATTTTCAACATCTGGGTTCTTTTACGAATGATTAATAATTCATTTTTTTTTCTTGGTAAATTTTAGTGGGGTTAAATGGCAATACAACAACATGCAAGAAAACTGGGGCTTCCATTGATGAATCTTGTGAGATTAAATGGAACTCCCATTTTAAAACAACTATATTTGGAGGAAAAGCTGCTTCGTACATCGTCGGACAATTGGTGTATCATAAATGATGGAGCAGATACTCCTGCCATTGTTATGGGGATCTCTGGGTAAGTTTTTTCCTTTAATTTTATTTTACAGTTTGTGCTAATATATTGACTTAGAACCCCGTTCATTTTTGCTAGTGGATGCTTTTTTGAAACGGATTTAACTTGAGTGGGGGATGTTATACGTAGGAAGCCTTCAGAACTTCTTAAAGTTGGGTCTATCTTACGAGAACAGGTTCCAGTGATTAGAAGGTTTACCGGGGGAGGCACTGTTGTTGTTGACAATGGGACTATTTTTGTCACCTTAATATGCAACAAGGATGCTGTTCCTGGTGTGCAACCATATCCCCGTTCCGTCATGTATTGGAGTGGTCTGTTGTATAATGAAGTATTTCGAGGGACTGGCGATTTTCAACTGCTTGAGAATGGTAAAAGATTTTACTTTATTTTATTTTTTTATGTATATAATGTGATAGAAGATTTTGATTCAATGTAGGGTCCTTCATCTGTTATCAAAATTTATGTATTTCTTGCTTGAAAAATGATACTTCGATACTAAAACTTCTTTGGACAATTAAATAGATATGAAGGAAAAGATAAAGATATAGCAAATCTATGTGAAATATTAAGGAAAAGATCCTATTTGAAATATATCTGTGTTCTTTCTCCACCCAAAATCTAAAGGTGCAAGAAGCAGACATGGAGACATGTATCATCTGCAGATCGTATACACCAATATCTGTTGCTGTTTTGTTATATCGAGATTCCTCGGCACTCTTTATTAAGAATTGTAGTTGTGGTCCAATCACAAAAGTGTTTAGTTCTAATGAACTGTATTTTCCTTTTTTGGTTTGGAAGCCAAAATGTTTTAGTTTTTGCCTTATACGAGATAGTTTTGCAAAATTCTAGACAACAGTACCAACACAACTTGTTTTCTACTCTTTATGTATTAAATAGTAGTAATTTTCTTTTAATACTTTGTGTTTAAAAGATTCCAGCTTCTTCATAATTTGTTCAATTCTGCTTTTAGATTATGTCTTTGGTGATCGCAAGTTTGGTGGAAATGCTCAGTCTATTACCAAAAACCGATGGATACACCACACCTCTTTTCTGTGGGATTATAAAGTGGGGAACATGGCCTACCTGAAACAACCTGCCAGGGCTCCTAAGTACAGATTGGTAAATTTCTAATTTACAATATTTTTTTCAGTTCACCTAATTTGCAGGCAATATCATGTAACCCTAAAAATGCTGCTCCAGTTAGTTTGTTAATGTCTTGAAGAAATTTTTAATCCTGCAGTATTGCTGATCTGATGACTTGAAATGGTCAGAGCTAATTAGAAAACACTATAAAATCAGGGGACAGTTATTTTGTATGTCATGGTTAAGTTTTGGCTGATAATCAGGGGATAGATTATCCACTTACGAGCTCTCCCGCTTGCATTCCTCGTGACGACTGCTATAGATTTACATTTCATTTATATGATTTGTAAGTTTTCTAACCAATGGTGCTGGCATGTCCAATTGCTCAATAATTTTTGAGGCATATGCAATCTAATAGCTGTATTTATTACATGCCAATGGAGATATGAGGATATATCTCTTTACATCATATTCTTGCCTTATTAATTTTCAGTTTTCTTTGCATATCTATATCTTGGTTATGGTTGCCTTGTGCATTCGAAAAACTGAAACTTATTTAGTTTTGTTCACCGTGTGATAGCATATATTGCAATAATGATACATGCAAACATTTTACACAAGCACGGAAATTTTATTTACTTTCTTTTACCATCCTTTAATTTGGATGGAAATTGGATCGTTTTGAGCGTTCAGTAATAATTAAATTTATACTTCCCACCCACCCCGCAGGCCAGAGACCACACAAAATTTATCTGCCGAATGAAGGATTACATGCCTAGATCAGTTTTCATCGAGAATACTATTGAGGCAATCGAAACCTATTTCTCAGTGCAGCCGGCAAACTTGGAAGCCATTGACACATCTTCCGAAGCAAACTTTGTTCATTCCACCAGACTTCTTACCAAGCAAGAACTTGAGGAAGCTTGTGAATCTCAGCCAGAGAATATTGGTGTCAATGTCTAAGTTTATGATTGAATAGAAACTTATTCTAGTTGGGATTTGGGAACTGAAGAGGGCTGGCTTCACACTTGATTTGTCATTGTTTTGAGAGAGAGTATTTTTCTCAATTCTTGATATGAACATGTGAGATACAATTTCATTCCTATGATGCATTAAAGTTATGTATAATGTATTTTTATATGTTTTTCTCTGGGACAATACTACATTTGCAACTTAATCTTATAAATTTTTTCTTACAATCTCGACGTGATAACTTACAATTAGTCAGTTCGTAGTAGGTCTTGCTTACCTAATTACGAGTTGATCAATTACGAACTGTCACGTTAAGGTTGTTGAGGTTATGAGAGATAGTATGTAAAATTAGATTATGAGACCGTCTTTATTGTTTTCTTCGGATTTTTGCTTGCTGGGCATTTTGAGGAAACTGTGAAGGGTCAAACATAGAAATTGGTTTTTAGCCTCGAAACAAACAAAAAAGCACAAAGAGTATGAGGGCCAAGACAGAAATAGGAACAGTGAAGAAGATATTTGTGCATGTTTTGATTGAGAAGTGAATTCCTTGTGACAGGAGAAAAAGGATCTGTTAAATCCAAGTATCTGTGTTTGCACGTGAGGTGCAGAAGTGATGAGCTAATGAAAGTGAAGTAGTTGCTGCTCACAAGTTAAATCTTTTGCCTGAATTCTGCAGGCCCATGAGAGAAGTATGTTTTGAAAGGTCCCTTTAATTTGTTTCTGTTTTTTTTGTTTTTCTTGTTTTTCTTGTAACCAACACCTGCTTAATTATTAATGAATCACTCACACAAGTGACACAATCTCTCTCTCTCTCTCTCTCTCTCTCTATCTTCCCCCAACAACACACCTTCTTTCCGACAAGGGAAATCACCTAAAACTTAAGCTAAGAATCACAATCATGTCACAAATTTAGAATTTAAAAAAAAAAAAAAAAAAAAATTCTGCATTTAACAAATTTTGGTGTTCATGGTAAAGTATAAGTTTAACCTTCCGTGACATAGTATTTTCGCATTGTTACAACCAGCATTCTTCAATTAATTGTTTCGAAAAAGATATAATTAATGTGGTGCCGAGACATTCTGGCCAGAAACAATGAAACATAAAGGAAATAAAATAGAAATATCATGAGGTGGTAAAGATATAGAGAGCAAGCAAGCTAGTTTCATTCATCGATTCAAGTTTGGACAAGATATGCTGTGAGAACATTAATTTATGATGATTCCTAAAGAAAAACATGGTTTCTGTTTACTTGAAATGATGATGACTGATCAGCTACTGTTTGCAACTCGATATCTAGTTCAAATCGCTTTACCTGCTTGTGGGAAATTTTTTGTTCTTCACGAAGCAGCTCCTATGCCAAGAAAATCTATAAATGGCGGTGAAATGTTAGTCTCAAAATGGCTGGTTGCAGTGGTATCTGCAAGTGATGGTGATGAAGATGATGGCTCAGTGATTGAGACTTGAGATGCAGATGCCATGGTCTCTGAGAAAGTTGCAGAATGGTGACGGTCATTTGATTGTTGCGTTGGAAAATTATTATTAAGAGTATAGGGCTTGAAACCATTGAAGCTTGAGCTGTCTTTTTCCATCTCCTGGCTAAAACTCATGTAATCTCCATTGTAACCTTAAACAAAAAAAAAAAAAAAAAAAAGATGAAGTGAAAAACTACTCAACAATGGACAAAAAGATGATATTAAGAGAAGAAAAAAGAGACTTGAGACCACAATCATGTTGAACTTGCAGTCTTGCACTGGAATGACCAGACATTACACACAGAAGCCAATGAGAAAAAGCACAAAAACCCAAATGCAATTTAACAGATTATGTTACAAAGAGCATAGAATGACAGGACAAGACAAACCAGAAAGCAAATCGAAATGAGGTTTCTGATTTCCACAAGAAGCACAATTAGGTCTTTGATTTTGATGATGAAGAGGGAGAAAGTTAAAGTTGCAGCTGTTTGTAGATCCAAGAAACAAATCTCCACCATTCATCACATCAGCTTGTTGATGATGATCACGAAAACCATTAGCCCCATTTCCACCAATGGGAGGTGCAAATGAGTTGAGTCTTTTTGATGATGGATTTATGTAGCTGATTGCTGTACTGTTATGAACAACAACTTGGCTCAGTTTTCTCCTCCTATAAGCACTTGATTGCTCTCTAAATTTCCTCGCCATTACAACATGCCAGTGATTTTTAACTGCATTATCAGTTCTTCCAGGGAAAAGCCTCGCAATCATAGCCCATTTGTTGCCATAAACTCGATGAGCTGCCATTAGTCTCTCTTCCTCCTCTTCACTGAAAGCTCTTTTGTTGATCTTTGGATCCAACTGATTAAACCATCTCAATCTACAACTCTTACCTTGAAAACAACACAAAACAAAATATAACATATTAATCCAAATGCAAAAGCTTAAACCTTGTTTAACAGAAAAGTCATGAAATCTAATTACCTGATCTCCCTTGCAACTTGTCAGCTATAAGGTTCCAGTTTTGAGGACCATAAAGAGCTACAAGCTCCTTGAGTTTAGTGTCCTCTGCAGGTCTCCAGTGCCCTCTTGAACAAATCTTTGACTGCCCACCACCACCGTTCATTTCTTTCACAGTATGATGATCACCACTTAAATTATGAATATTTTCTTCAAACTCATCAAAATCTCCCATGTTACTAAGATTATTTTTCTCGGAATTTGTATTAGTTGGAGCAACACGGAGAGAGCCCATGTGGGAAAACACCTCCATTGATGAGTTATTGAGGAAAGTAGTAGTAGAGTAAATATTGGAGCTATCGTTTTCTTGGTGACAGAAGGAGCTGTTGTGGAACTGTTGCAAAGTCATGCTCTAAAAGCCAAAAATAGTAAAAGGAGGTGGCAGAAGAAAGCAACAAGAAGAGATAGATAGAGAGAGAGTTAAAAGTGCTTAATTAGAAAGCAGAAAAAAAGTGTTTCTCTTTGTTGTAACAGAAATCCACACGACCATTCATCATCTTCTTCTTTGTTTAAGAAGCTGAGCTTAGAGTTCTGAGTTTCTGACTACAACTGGACTCACCCCCACCTCAATTTTGACTCTTTCTATGGACTCATTTCTTTTACTTCTCACACACTCTACTTTGTGTGCGTGAACATCAAACACATCAATCCAATTTATTCTTGCTAAAAATGGAAATAAAGAGAACTGAGTTTAACTTGGTCATCTAGAATAATAATGTTATCTAAATAATGTCTTTTATTTGGTTGAATCTATTCACAAATGAGTGTGTTTACAGTTTATACGGTAATGTTATATACAATATTTTACTTCTTTTAACAGGCTTGTTCTTTAGAAGTTATAGTACAGTTTATGTGTTTTTTCGGAATTTTTTTTTTATATAATGGATGTATGTATAATCAACCAATTATCGGACGTATAGATAATAAGAGAATATTACANGAAAAAAAGTGTTTCTCTTTGTTGTAACAGAAATCCACACGACCACTCATCATCTTCTTCTTTGTTTAAGGAGCTGAGCTTAGAGTTCTGAGTTTCTGACTACAACTGGACTCTCCCCCACCTCAATTTTGACTCTTTCTATGGACTCATTCCTTTTACTTGTCACACACTCTACTTTGTGTGCGTGAACATCAAACACATCAATCCAATTTATTCTTGCTAAAAATGGAAATAAAGAGAACTGAGTTTAACTTGGTCATCTAGAATAATAATGTTATCTAAATAATGTCTTTAATTTGGTTGAATCTATTCACAAATGAGTGTGTTTACAGTTTATACGGTAATGTTATATACAATATTTTACTTCTTTTAACAGGCTTGTTCTTTAGAAGTTATAGTACAGTTTATGTGTTTTTTCGGAATTTTTTTTTTATATAATGGATGTATGTATAATCAACCAATTATCGGACGTATAGATAATAAGAGAATATTACAATCGACTAATCTCTCATACCTTGAAGTTAACGACTAGATATACCGTCTAATGGTTACCCTATTAACAACTAAGGGAAATCAAATCGAACTCAAGATTTATTGAATAATACATTTAAGAGTTTTTATCGTCCTAGTGTCATGGGTTGAAAGTTTCATACCCAAAAGACTAACCTATTAGGTGGAGGGACTCCTCCCATTTATAAGCCCAAGACCTCCCCAATACGCTTTCGATGTGAGATTCGTTATATTCTCCTCTACCCAATCATGTGACGCTTTCGTCACAGGTGGGACCCCCTGCCTATCCGTCCACCTCACTCTCGTGTGGACCCACAATCACACGTGGACTCCCTTGCGTGGGTGTTTGACAGGATATCACAAGACGGACCGGGTCTGCTCTGATATCACTTGTCATGGGTTAGAAGTTTCACGCCCAAAAGGTTAACCTATTAGGTGGAGGGACTCCCCCCATTTATAAACCTAAAATCTCTCCAATACGCTTCCGATGTGTGATTCGTTACAACAGTCACCTAGCCATCCAAGGGTGGTTTGTTAAAATCACTGTACAAAACCTACAGGAGTCAAGGGTTGAGACTTGAGAGTGATTTACACGCCAAGACTATGAGTGCAATTGGTGTCCCTTTCTTTCTGCCTTCTAAGGCATTGAATATTCTTTCTTCTTTCACTTATTTCACACGTGTGGATGTCATGTAGTGTCACGTGTGAAGAAATCCAAGAGATTCAAAACAAAACAACAAAACCCTCCTTCGAACCCTAAAATTCTCTCTCTCTCCCTTCAACTATTTTGGGGATGTCTCACTCTCAATTTACCAAAAAAGGCCACTGTTTGCCTCTAAGTCCAAGCCTTGGTCCCAGCAAAAAGCTCACCATTCATAAAATCATTATAAAGTATGTTATTTTTTAATACTTTTATGACAACTATTGATGCATTTAATACTAGTCCATCTTATAAAAATCTATCAAATAAATCCCTTCTGCAATAAATATCAGGTACTTTGAGACAGAGAGCTTATTTAAAACCTTTGTAAAGGGTTTTGTTAAATCAATTTATAGCTCACCTGGCAAAACCCTCACCACCCACTAGCCAATTTAACTTATAATCCAACAACCTTTACATATAAAACAATAAAGGCCTCATAACAGAAGTTTCCTTTTTGATATATCCACTAATTCTGCCATTTTGAGTATTTCTTAAACTTAGAAAATTAGTTTGGATATACCATTCCTTTGCATTTACATCAACTTTTTTGTGTTTTTTTTGTTTTTTAAATAATCTATATATTCCCTCTACCTCACTTTGAGGACCCAGTTTCAAATAGAAGTTCTTGTCGAACCTTATAATCTTTGGGAAGCGAGAAATTAGAACTCTTGTTAAATCTTATAATCTTTAGGAAACGGAAAATAATGACCTTTAATTATGTAGGTGTCCATAAGGGAACTCGAACATTAGATTGGTGGGAGCAAACCACGTGCATGATGGCTCAGCTAACCCCTCATGAGTCATTCTTTATAATTTATATTAGGTTATTCTAATTTATTCTAATTATTAGTTTTACCCAAATTTTGGTAGTCATTTATGAGTAGGGAAGTACAAAAACCCAGAAAAAACAAATGTATGTATCATGCATGGCCAATTATTTAAGTCTAGTTGGTAAATTAGAGAGTAGGGTGAAGAGTCAAAATGGTAAATCATTTTCTCAAGGCAAGTCAGAGGAAGAGTTGACCCAAATTCCCTTACAAAAAGTTGAAACAACTGGCGTATGATTCACAGGCTTTTTTCAATTTTCACTATGAAATCTGTGAACTTATGAATTAGCTAAAGTTTTTCAACCCCAAGTGAAAAGAAAGACACGTTTTTTTCCTGTCATTAATTCAGTTCAACCATTCAACTCCCCTTAAGGTTAAGTCATATGTACAAAGGTTTGCTTAGAGATGAACTTGAAATGGAAAACTTTGAGAACTTTAGGCACTTCAATGGGAATGAAAGAGAGAATAAGTAAAACCATTTTCTTTTGGGTAATTTTTGAGGAATAGTTCCAGTACTGTTGAAATGAAATTTGCAAGTAATAAGCTAAGCTGGCTGCACAGATCTAGGACATTAGATGAGCCGAAAGGAAGCATTAGCTGATGCTACTTGTAGAAAGAGGATGAAGAAGTAAACCCTAAAACAAATATTACTATAGGATTTAAGGAAATCAATTTGCGGCCATAACATGAAATCCAAAACCCTCAAGATTATTATATGATTAAGAGGTTTGATTTGTCATATTTTACTTCCATTTGTACCAAAAAGAAATACCTTCAGTTCAATCATTTGTTTCTTTCGGTTCGGTTGGCTCAATCTCCTGCTTAAAATCTCAAATATCACTGACACATAGGGCCTGTAAATCAGCTGCAAATGGTTGCTTTGCTTGTAAATCCTGCATCGAATCATAATATATATATATATATATATATAAGAGTTATAGACTCAGAGACTGGATTCAAATTCATCAGGAGCTAGCTTTCTCTTGTTTCCATCCAAAGTGTGTCATACTATAAACTTCAGCCTTACAAAGTAAACCACAATATTCAACGAGATTTCATATTGACCTTATTTTTAGGGAAATTACTTAGAAAGGCTACCCTTTTATTTACTTTTGGTTTTAATTAATTAAACACCTCATGTGAGCTACAGCTAGCCCTGAGTACTGCACAGTACGGCAATGTAAAAGTTAAAACTAATCTGAAGGGAGTAATAAATATTAAGCTTATTTTCAAACTTGGGAAGTGTAGCTTCAGTTCAGGTCAAAATGTTGAAAGTTAAAGCATCACTGCAACTCTGTAAAACTGAAGTTAAAACGCTCCTGCTTTATTTAACTCTCAGAACCACAAATTTGTACGTTCTAGCTAATTGGATTATTCAGGATAAATTCTGAAGGTGAAATGTTAGCTCTGGGGGTTTTTAGTTTCCTGTAGAAGTTAAAATCTAACAAACATATATAATACACTTGTACGATTTTATTATTCTCATAATTTTCCATTGAAACTGGTGGAATTGACAGCAGTACAATCAATTGCTCTAATACGAATTGTTGGAAATTAGAGAGGGTGTTGTAATACTAATAGAAATTGAGAGGGTGCTCTTATACCAAATGTTGGAATTGGGAGCAACAACAACATAATGGCAACACAATCAATTACTTTAGCTAGTTTGTCAGTTCGTTTGAGATTTTAGGTGTATTACTTAAAAGGTCATGAGTTTGAATCTTCACGATTATTAATAAGAGGTAGCTATTAAAGGCTTACCTGACTGTTAATTTCAGGGTTCCAAGAGACTAGTTGATCAAGTACATGCAAGCTGGCTGGATACGAAAAAAATAATAATAATAATAACAGAAGTGATGAACACGAAATTTTTGTAGGAAAAAAAAAATCCAACCCTAGTATTTAATTAATCAACTTCTCCTTCACAATCACAATAAAACCAATGTTTTTCCTTTTCTTATATAGAAAGAGAGAGCAATCCTAAAACTAAACAAAATCTATTCTCCTACTTAAACATGGAAAAGGAATACTAATCTTTAAATGAAACTATTTTCTCTCTTATTTTAACTCAAAGAGATATCATTCCTAAAATAACAATTATCTTAAAACAAATCTTCTAAAAAAAGGAAATTAACCAAAACTGTATTATCACATCATTATCACCGAATTATCACCAAAGCAACGACCTTCTTCGAGATCTTCTTTGCGATCGTCGTAGCAAACATTTCCATTGTCGCGGCCAACTTCTGTCGCCGCATCAAACTTTTTCTTTTGCCGTGACATTCCACATTCTGGACTAAGTTTCATTCTCTTATCTCAACTTCTTCACTGTATACCTTTTCTTCTACAACAACATTTTCATTAACTAT